AGCATTTAGAGCTTTTATTGTGTGGAATCTCCTCACCCCGGGTCTCGCAAAGACATCCAATGTCAAGAACTTTACAAGAATGGCCTCTAAATCCGACAAATTACGCAACTTAGACTTTCAGGCGGAATCTCCGCAAACAATGTCTCACAATAATGATAACGATTTTCTATATTATTGAGACGATTTTAATGTATTTTTTATCTTAGGTTTTAGTTTAATTGCACGACCCCATAAGCGGCGACGCTTTAATTACCATCGTGTTGAAATAAAAGTTGTGGTTCTTGTTTGATACCTGCAAAAATATAAACCTGTACACAGTCAACTCCCGCCTTGCTCTTACGGACAGCAGCAAAATCCCCGGTGAAAGTTACAGACCTTTGACTGAAAAAGACTCCCGCTACTACGGACTTACGGACACTTAATTCGGTCCTAACGTCACAATTTTATTGGTTTCTCTCTCGTTATAACGGACACTGGGCAGCATCTTGGAATATTTGCACACATATCAAGTCTATTTTTCTGCTTTTTGAGACTTTGTCTTTTTTGGTCGATTTCCGCTTCTTCTGTCCATCAATCAAAACTCCTTCGTCTTTTTCTCTTAAGGCCCTCTTTGCAGTCTCGCTGCCATGAATAAGTTCGTTCAGTCTGTCCAAATATTTCCTTCCGCTGTAAATCTTATAAATAACTGGAAGTTCCAGTCCCAAGCCAGATCCTCGATTGACCCGTTTTCCACAGATTTCTGCTGTTGCCTTGTGGTTGGCCCTTTTTAAAAAAAGACGAAGCAATTCTTGATAAAGCTAATGGGATATGGCCAACAGTGCGTCCAGTATCTTCCACAATAGCAACAGCATGCGAATCTTTAGCATTTTCTGGTTCCCGCTGTAAAGTGAGCGTGGTACCAATAACAGGCTCGAAAATGTCCTTGTAAGCATGGTGGCCCCGCATCCACGAGTAGTACTCTTTGCTTTCAACTCTTCTAATTTAAGGACTGGCCATAACCGGTACAGTAAATAAAAATAGCACAACAAAATAAGTTTGGTTTGCTCTTGACGAAACCACAGCGATCTTTGATCTCTAGCATGACCACACAGAACGGTCGTGCGTGTGAAATATTTAAAATATGTGACTAAAATGCATACTGTATGTAAAATCCTTTGTGTACATCTGGTACATGTCAGGTTTACACGTGGTCTTTTGCAGCAAGCGTGTTTTGACCAGGCTGTGTTCTATTGGAGAAACCACTGAATCATGCCAAAAGATAAAACAAAGCAGAAAGCAAGGAACGAATTACCTTTAGGAAAACGTTTTCAAATCGTAGAAGACGAAAATAGCAAAGGATTGACAGGAGTACGCAAACTTGCTGAGAAATTCGGTTGTGGAAAAACACAAGTAAGTAACATTCTGAAACAGAAGACTCTTGTAAGAGAGGAGTGCGAAAGAGGATTTTCCAGTGCGAAGAAGCGTAACCGTACTTGACAATACTCGGACGTGAACGATGCTGTATGGGAATGGTTCAAGAAGAAAACCGAACAACCCACTCCAGTCGACGTTCCTATTATCCAGGAGTTTGCAATGAAAGTAGCAGAGAAACTTGACTACCCTGAGTTCAAGGCGTCAAGCGGCTGGCTTACGAGATTTAAAGAGCGCAACAACCTTTGGCAACACAAACTCTGTGGTGAATCTGCTGATGTGCCAGAGGCTACAGTGTACTCTTGGAAAGAGCATCCTGGGTCTATTATCTCTGGATATGCGATGCAAGACATCTGGAATATGGATGAAACTGGCTGCTTGTACCGTGCTCTTCCGGATAAGAGCCTTTCAGAGAAAGCAAAGAAGTGCAGAGGAGGCAAGAAGTCAAAAGAGCGGTTAACTGTTGCTTTCTTCGTTTCTGCTACTGGGGAAAGGAGAAAACCAGTTGTAATCGGAAAGTAAGCGAATCCAAAGTGCCTGAAGAATATAAACAAGGATGATCTTCCTTGTCAGTATCTGAATCAACAAAAGGCTTGGATGACATCTGATATCCTTCACAAGCTTCTCAGCCAGTTAAACAGCTCTTTCAAGGCTCAGAATCGATCAGTACTTTATTCATTGACTCTGCTGGATGTCATCCCTTTGATCTCAAGGGACGGTATTCCAATATTAAACTGGGTTTTATCCTGTAAACTTCACGTCCAAGCTGCAACCTTTAGATCTCGGAATAATCCAGAACGTTAAAGTCCATTACAGAAAGTTGGTACTTCGTCATATTATTTCAATGACCACAGACCACGACAGCACAACAGACACCGCCAAAACATTGGACGTGGTGCAGGCCATAAGGTGGATGGGGACTGCTTGGTCTAAGGTCGAGAACGATACCATTATCAAATGTTTTGCAGCAGCTGGAATATCCAGCACTTTCTCAGAAGCAGTTACCGTCAGTATTGTGACAGGAGAGGAGGATCCCTTTGCTGATCTTGATGTCTCGGCCGATGAGGAACTGGAAAATCTTGCCCAATAGGTTGCACCTGGAAGTGGAATCAGTACTTACCTGGAGTCCGATAACGGACTTCCAACCTGTTACAGTCTTCTTACCGAACAACAGCTGCTGGAGGCCATTGGTACTTCTCACGATGTCATGGAAATAGAGAGTGACAACGAGAATGACATGGAAAAAGAAGATACCCCAGGTGAAGGCGAACGCTCAAACAAAACAACCACTTTGAAAAGTTTCAAGGACGTTCTGGACAGTATCCATAACCTTTCTGCTTTTTTTGATTCATAGAGGGGAGTTTAAGGTTGCTAATGAACTTAGTCTCCTTGGCGACAAAGTGGCGGAAGCTGCAATTCAAAGGAGAAGTACAGCACAGAGCCTACTGGAACGATATTTTCAGGCAATGTGATAGCTGATGCAATCACTAGCTGATGTTTTGGTTTTTCCTTAAAAATAATTTTTTCAGAAATGTAGATTACTCTACTCCAGTACAGTAGGAAACCAAAACGATACATGTGTGGACATTACTGCAAGATACGATGATTGTTTTTTACGTACTCAACGGGTACGTAACTACTGTTCTGTTAAATAAAGTTCTGACGCTCTTCACTTGCGACAACAGGTCTGAAGAAGGTACTGAAGTTAATAAAAATGAACACACATATGGCTCCCTTCTATAAATATGGTTTAAAATAGAAATTTTCCCGCACCCCGCTATTACGGACTCTCGCTATTACGGACACCAAATCGCGGTCCCGAGGGTGTCCGCTATAACGGGAGTTGACTGTAGTTGCACCTGCCCAATTTTGAGTGCACTGACCTAAGTGGTTTGAAAATAGCAATAACCAACTAATATATAGATTTAGCCAAGGCTAAAAGCGGAGCTCCCAATAAGTGAAAATTTTGCAATAAAATTTCTTTACATATATTAAAATTTTTTAGCCGAAACTTCATTTACTATAGATTGAACCCATTGACACTTACGTGTAACAAGTCCCTGTGAAAAGTCAAAATTTTGGAGAAACCAAGAAAGCAAACACAATGCGCAGTAAATTTTTAAAAATCATCTTTTCCGAAAAACAAGCTCCAGCGAAAGAAGACTAATTAAAGAAGTTATTTCCGACGAAAAAAGCGATAGGTGCATATTACGTTTTAACTCAAAAATCAAGATGAAAGATAAAAATCGCGAAATATTTTCGCATGCGTGCAAATGTGGGCATGTGGATCATATTTCAAAATAGAATTTGCGAATTTGTCCGTGAGTGAAGAGATCTCAAGTTCCATGCAATTTATCAATAGGAAGCAGGACTAAATTGGCCAAGAAATATTTCGGGACGACAGACTAATTCAAAACAGTTTTTGATTTGCTGTTATAAGCGAAAAACGTACGAATTTCTTACGTGTACAAAGCCCACGCGGTAAAATTCATCATGCTTAGATCGTTGTTTACTTACCTTCAAGGCCAGAAATTGCGCAGCGTTGTGTTGAAAATTCTGAAAAAACTTCAATTTGACGCAAAATCTTCTATTAAACAATACTTTTTGAACACATTGTTACTTGAACATAATATTTAGCGGGTCATCGAATCGTCAAATTGTCGCTATGCCCTGCTTGAAGTCCGAAAGCTCGGTTTTCAATTTACGTCCATAATTCGCATCGCCTTAGAGAATCGTAGTGTCGTTGACTCGAAAGCTTATTCTGTCACCTTTAAGACCTTGATATCCATTCTTTTCCAAGCAAAGTGTTCTATAGCATTGTTACTTTACATTCTGAGTTCCACAAGGTCTAACTCGATCGCAAATGAACGAAAAATCCGACCTGAAAGTCTTGAGGTCGGCCGCGTGGACGCCATATTTTCAAGTTTAATCATATAGTACTTTCGTGATAGCATACATGACAGAGGACACGTGCGTACCTACCTACGTACGCTCGGTCAGTCACGTGACAACCAAACGAAAAACGATTGGCCATATTCCATGGGTATGGGGCTCTGCCCCGCGCGCGCGAGCCCCGCTAATATGTACAAGTAAATTGCGTTCTCCCACCTTAAATAGCCTGAAAGTTACTGACATCACGCCTAATCCCTTGTCTCCTACAGTGAACATTATCATCTTCCTGCTTCCCTCTGCTCCCCTCTCCTGCTTCTCTCTCCGGCAGGTGTCCTGTACGTTCTTAGAGTATGTGGCGGCAGCACCTAAAGAGAGTCCAAACATTCACGCGTGGGAACTTTTTTTGTACTCCTGGAAAAAGGTAAACATTTTTCCGGTCCTTTCTTTTCTCCTAGTAATTTGACAAAGTCCCAACAGAAACTAATCATGGAACTGGAAGAGAAACAAATCCAAACCAAACTAAATAGGTCTCCTGCTGTTGCAGCAGCATCAACTCTCGACAATGAGTAAGACCCTCTGAATACTATATGTATTAGGACCACGAAAAAAATTCACAACTTATTTTTACGGCACCTACCCTTTCAGGCTAAAAGCAAAAAGAGTCCTCCCCACCTACTCCCGGGAGAACGCCCAAAATTTCCAATGATCACAGAAAGGTACCGAGAGACACCACTGATGTGAACCAGCCACGCCTCAAACTATAATTAGCTGTGAGACTTGTACACAGATATTCAGAAGCACCTTTAAGTGTCTACTAACTTGCTTTCCTTCCTGTACATAAATTCCGCAAAACTTGCATCGTGTTGTAAGTTTTTGAAAAACAAAATCTCTTATCTGAGGAGAAACACCTATCACCTGTCTTTTTTCTGATTTTCTTCCAATCAAACCCAGTTTAATCAAACATGTTTTGCTCGTGTGAATGGTGACACGGGGCGAGGAAAGTGAGAAGATTCGCTCTGAGCCACAACATTTTCATGTGGCATTCGATTTACCAAAATGAAAAAAAGTCGTTCAAGGCACAGACTAGACTGACATGGACGAACTACTCGAGCTGCACGACTTATGGGGCTACAACGCACATTCTTACCTCATGCGAACTGACCATGAAAGTGAAGCACTCTTTGAGTCATAATATTTAGGGAAAGCGTCGAAGTACAATTTTTCAAGTTAGCATTTTCTTAGGGTCTCTCCTATTAGCATTTTTTTAGCATTTTTCAGAAATATGTATCCTCTTGCATAACTTGTATGTACCGTTGTATTTTTTCCTCATTAATATCCAAACTCCAAACCTTCGCTGGTGCCTTCCGAAAAAAAATTCCTATATGCGCAGTTTTTTAAGAAATCACCACAAACATATGTCAATAGAAATTTTTTTTTAAAAAAATGCAGAATTTGTTAAAACTATGAGCCATTTTTGAGTCAAAGAAAGCCGGTAAACAGTAAAATCACTGGAAACTATTCCGTCCAATTAATCGGGTATTAAGCATCACCTTTGATAAACTGTAACTGCGCAGAGAATTGGTAGTTCCAGTTCCGTTTTTCCCAGTTAGTTTCTACGAATACGTTCTCGGTAGCCAATGAGGTATGGGTAAAACGAAGAGAAAAACCTGTTCTTCGCAAATCTTTGAGAGGTGGGCAAACCCCGAACCCTTCTCACACTCGGCACCAGAGCAAGTCTTTCAAAGATGGGAAAATCACAAACCCATCTCACTCTCGGCTAGATATATTCTAACAAGACAATCTGAGATCGTAAGTCGGGCTACAGGTAGAAGTGCTGTTACGAGTGTTGACCATTAATGGTGCGCAGTGGTTCTAAAAAGAAAGACTAGTAGATACCAAGGTCCTGATTTGTGGGTTTGGTATAAGAATTTTTTTTCACCCCTGAGAGGCAACAATTCTACAACAACACAGTCACATATTTTTGGCGCAATACCCTAAAAGTATCACTGAAGCTGCTGCTGTGGACCTTTTGAGGCGGAAAAACCCAAGACGTACCAAACCCGCCATCTTTAACCCTTAAAAGGTACGACGAGCAACCCAGTCCTTTTTATTTAAGGATTCCCCTCTTCCCAGGGGTGGTATGTACATGCTGATTGATGCATGTGTGAAAAAAGATATTATAAAACTGTAATCGTACTGATATGAATGCGGGGAAGTATATTCATCGTGAAAACTTATCTGAACTGACCGACAGATGAAAGTGAAGCTACGGTAATCGAATTGAAGTTGATTTGAGACATCATTTATGCGTTTGGGGAGATTGGGTCACTGTGACTGATTCGGGCTACGCTGAAGTTATATGTATTAGTTCACAATCTGTGAAGTCATTGGAATGACAGTTTGCGGGGGCTAGTGTTTTCGCTATTAAAGTATATTTTTACACCATGGTCGGAGTGAGATAAAAAATAAGCAAGTTTAAGTAAATTTCCATCTTTTATTTTCAACAAGCAAAATATGATTTACTATGATAAATTTTAGTGAAACAGTGCATCTACTTATTATTCTACTTAGCTGAAACGACGTTTTTATTTGTTGTATTGGAGGTTCACAAGTATCTTCATAAGTCAGTAAGGAGAACAAGTACTTTGCTATGACTGTTTGTTGAAAATACAATACAGTAACTTTTAAGCCACAATAAAAATCCTGTATTTCCACATGTTGAAAATTAAGTTTTCCAAGTTGTTTGTTGTATTGTTTAAACTACTAGATAACATCTCATAGCTTTGAGCTTTAAGTTGAACTGATATCTCAACTCCACAAATATCAAGACTCGTGTATAAATCTGCCCTTTTCAGACATCTGTTTATGCCCATGCTACGAGAGAACTTATTTCCTTGATCAGCTATGTAACATAGGGTTCTGGAATTCCAATAACTACAAGACTTTGCTGCTGAGTAACACTGTGCGTAAAAGCCCTACAGCAGAGCATCGTTTACATGAGCAGTTGTGTTCTTCTCTCAAACTGTTCACTGCAGTTATTTCGTATGTAATAGTCTGCACTCCTCTTAGTTCATAATTGTCACTAAGGGAGTGCATAGTCTGGAAATACTGTACTAAGCACTAAATAGATGGTACTTCTAATAGTACACATGTACCTGAGGGATGGCTTCTACCATATTCTTGTCTTGCATGATAATC